AGTTTCTTGGGATAAGATACTTAAAACACTCTCCTCGTAATTTGCGCCAAATGTATGCCAAGAAGGAATATATGAATACAAAGACATGGTCGCCGACCACCATTTTACGGCATTCACCTCCCATGTCAACAAAACCATCAATGCAAACCACACTTTTTGTTGAATTGTAGCCCCATTTGAAGAGACATTTCGTCAAAAATAAAAAATAAGTAGGTGCATAATTCAAATTCATCGTTTTTTTTTCTGAGGTAGCAGCTGTTTTAAGACTATCTAATATGTTCGCATTAATTCCACACACAAATGGGATTTTATTTCAAAGAGTGGTTATTGTTATTTTTAATGACAAACTGAATATGCGACGTAAAAATTTAGACCACCACTCACTCTGCTTCAACAGTGATACAGCAAAAATTGTATCTCTGTAAGTTAACCTTCCGTCTTTGGGCTTTTTTAGTTGCATCCGTATTTGAGAGAACATGAAATTATATGTTGTTTCATTTAACAATCTTCTTAGTCCTGTTTGACGCTGGGCTTCCTCTGTATCATGCATATACTTATTTTTTTTGCGTCACTTTTCCGTTTTGTTAATGCTCTATTTTTTCTTTGTAAATATTGAATTCGCATATACAATTTTTTGGCATTTGGAACAGCTCATTCAACTTCGAAGGTATTGTAGGTTGGTATGTTTAACATTATATAATTAAAATAAAATTTTTAGATGATGGGTACGACCCATTTATCAGAACCGCAAGAAGCAGAGAGATTATCATAACCTGATACAAGAAATGAGGCTTCAGGATACGGAAATGTTTTTCCACTATACGAGAATGTCTGTAGAACAATTCGATAATTTGTTACAATATATTGGTGGATAGTCAAAAAAAGTAATAGAACACCGTTGAATCCAGAGCATCGACTTTTAATTACACTTCGGTTCAAAATTGTATTATTAAATGTGTTGCATTTTGTTAATGTGTCTTTTTTCTTGCAACTGGAGCATCACAACAGTCTTTGGCTTTTCAATTTAGAATTGGTCAATCAACAGTTTGCAATGTTTTAAGTAAAACGTGTGCAGCTATATGGAAGTCATTATCGGAAGTAGTTTTGCCTAATTTCACCACCGAAAATTGGCTCAACATAGCAAATGAATTTTGGACTAAATGGAATTTTCCACATTGCATTTTATTAATATTTATCGTTAACGTGATACAATGTCTTCGTCCTGTTTCTCAACTCTAACCCTATACTGTCCCAAACTTTGTCCTTTTTTCTAACGTTTTTATAGTCATCATGCGAAAGATCGTACATGATTGGATAATTTTTCACCAGTTCTATTAGTTTCTCTGTAGAGAAGACCATCTTCAAACAAGTCCGGCAAAACAATAGCGGCAGCGGAAAAAACTCTGTATGCAGCGTTGGCGCGAACCGACGCTTTAATGCCGCATTCGTTGCGGAATTCGCATCATTCAGTGGGCATACATGCATAGTTCGCCGTGTCTATTGTTTCGCGTCCTTTTAAAGCTAGGAGAATTTACTAATATAGATTTATGATAATAAAATATTTAATTTTGCCTATTAAAAAAGTTTGTTATGTAACTCCTCCTAAACTCGTGTCCTGCTCCCCTTCTCTCCCGACCATTAATTGCCGCTGGAACTTCTGGAATGTTGCCAGCTTCAATCAACTGTTGTAATTCATGTTGGTTGATTTCTGTTGGCAATGGAGGGTCTTCTTCACCCCTTTCCCCGGCAATATTATGTAAGACTGCACAAGCAATTATTACTGCTAGCACAGTATCTTGTTTCAACCTACATCCGTAGGCTAGAATGGGAAATCTTCTTTTCCACAACCCAAATGTTCTTACTATAACATTGCGAGTTCGAATGTGTGCTTCATTATAGAGTTGCTCCCCTTGTGTTTGTGGATTTAACAGTGGAGTTAAAAAATAGCGACGAACAGGGTAACTACTGTCTCCTATATAACAAAACAAAGCAATGGAATTACACAATTATCTATATAACGACTAAAGCTTACCTAAAATGATACAATTTGGGTAGATTCTCCGTTCAAAATCTCTTCTTATGTTCGAATTATTAAATATTGTTGCGTCATGGGTAGACCCGGGCCATCGAGCAACAACATTTGTAAATTTCATTTCAGCATTGCACATAGCTTGCACATTTATTGAAAAATAGTCTTTTCTGTTGCGGAAGACTTCTGCATGTTCACCGCCTTAAACATACCCAACAACCATATAAGTGATAGCTCCTGACATAGATACTTTTATATGAATACTATACCTGGAGATTCAATTTTTATGTGAGTGCCATCAATAGTACCTATCACCCTTGGAAATCGCGAGATTTCAAAAAATTTATTTTGTGTTCGTCGGAGTTCCATCCGAGTCCGTGGCATTTTAATTATCTGTGGATACAACCTTGCAATCGCTTCAGACACTTTTTTAACAATACGGGACACAGTAGACAAATGCATTCCCATATAATCAGCCACGCTGCTAAGATGCCCTCTTGTGGAAAATAGACGTAATGACGTCAACAATTGGTTGATTGGTGCCACGGCTGCATTTATATAAATATACAAATTATGTTTACGTTCGATTTGGTTTAATTTTATTATTACTTATGTCTTTACCTGTCGTTTGGAAATTCCAAATGATGTTCTATTTGGGCTAACAAATATAACACTGTTTCTTTGGTTAACCGAAACCTTTGAAAAAACTGAAGATCCGGCAGATCATGAAAATGATCGGCTCTTAAATAAATTTGTCGCGATATTCCTACTGCGATTAATTCGAGAACTTCGAGGTCGTCCTCAAACGCATCAAAATCCATTTGTTTAGTAAAATAAACAACAACACTACAGACTGCACGTGCATTAGTTAGGTTATTGCGATAAATTAGGTTAAACAAATGTCAGTTTTGTGTCTGTTACCAACAGAATTTGTTATTTCAAATAAAGTCACTAGCTAAGCACTGCTTTGTTATGCCAACGTTAAGATGCGTTGGTGCAACACTCAAGTAGTTTAAGAACTGCTGAAAGTTAAGAACTTCAGCAAGCTAAGGAATGCTTAAATCGAATGTTCGTCCAAACGGCCATTACAGGGGTCCAGTGTTTGTCTGCAGTACCAACACCTGCCTGACGTTAAGGGGGTTAATGTCGTCATGTCCACGGAGTCAGTTTTTTGCGATTTCGGGGGCGCGTATATGCGTTTTTGAACTGTGTCCGTAAGCGGCCGCGAAAAATTACGGGGATATAGTGACCATTTTTAAATCTATGGATGGTGAACATTTGGTAAAAAAGTTCCAGCAAAATTGGAACGTATCATCCATGTAAACAGAATCGACTGATTTCAAAAAATATAAATTTGTGTAACAGGAAAACACTTTAATTTTATCTTTTTCACTAACATGTAACACAAAATCTTCTTCCTTATGAGTCTTTAGTTGTATAGATCAGTAGCGGCTCGCGACTATTTGAGTCGGTGAGGCTCATCCAAGATGGTTATTGGGGTACCGCCGAATACTATTTAATATATAGGTATTCCTACATTATTATAATTTGTCGCGATCAATTGAGGCTTTTAACAATTAAAGTAACTAATAATAAATTAATTCGGAACTGTTGTTGAAAACTTAATTTTTGTATATTAAATCTATACGTCTATCTTTTAATGTGGCATATTTATTTATGATTTCGTCATAAAAGTCAGGTCTTCTGCTCAATTCATTTACTAAGCATTTTTCTATTGACATTAGTGCGAGTCCAGATAAACGTTCTTGTGACATGGTGCTTCTTAAATAAGTTTTAATACGTTTTAGACAGGAAAAATTTCTTTCTGCAACTACGCTGGTTGCTGGAATTGTTACTATTAAAGATAGCAGTTTATTAACTTCAGGAGAAACGTCTTCGAACTCTTTATTAATAATATTTAAACTACGTTGTATATCACTATTTTGGAATTGATCATCATAATATATATTTGATAATTCATTTAATAAATGATCTTTTTGAAAAATTTTTGGATTAGTTCTGTTACGAGCCAAACTCACAGCTCGTTGCCGGCCTGCTAGTGGAGAAGGGGTGAGTTCCTGCGGGTGCAAAGGGTCAGGTCGCTAGAGGTTCGCAAAGAAGAGAGAGCACACTGTTTTGTGTAGCGACGTCGCCAGGGCGCCACCAGTTTTTATTAAGACACAATTACAACAACAAAAAACCGGAAAAATATTTAACTATTGTAATTGCAAGCTGTTACTTAAAATATTTGATTACAATAAAACCTAAGGTCACTAATTAAAAAGAAAAACAAGTAAGAGTGAGAAATAACTAAATAATTAAGCAAAAGAAAATGAGTAAGATATTAATGATAATGATTCAATGCGACTAACTGTTTACGATAAATACGAGCAATACGAACGATAGTTTAATTACGAAAGGCGACGAACTAATTAACGATAAATACGAGCGATACGAACGAGGTTTACGAAGCGAACAAATTAGTTGGGGTCGTAACGAATAACGATTTGATTAATTATTTCGAGGGCTATGAGATAAACGAAGTAGGCCACACGCTCGGTAGTCCTAACGAACGTACGAAGGTATTACGTAGAGCGGAGCGTCACAGTCTTACCCGTTGTTATTACTAGGTTATGTGCGAGTGCTAGTTACGCCAGACTTCGAAACGTTTTGCGATACAATAAAGAAAAGGTAAGGCGACTAATACTTAAACTTAATGAGATGGAATGGAAGTACCATGGGCACCTGCCTCCTTCGATGTCCACGACGAGATGTCGAAACACAGCGGCGTCGCAGCGAATTTCCAGTCGATGTCGAGTCGAGGTTTTTGGTGACGGCCTGTCCAACCGATGGTAACTCTCCAGCTGTTCTGGGAGGGCTCACAACTGCCCACGACAGTTGGAATTCATAGAATTCGTTCTCCCACTCAAAACTGGCTCCAATTCTCGATCACGGGAATAACAAGATCAGCGACAAAACAAAAAAAAGCTGCAAGGAGAGCAAAGTCTGAGAAGATGTTCGAACTCAGTCAACCCCAAGGGTTCCACATGTCACATGCACTTGGTAAGTAGTAAAATATTATCGTTAACATGAAAATAACCATAACCTCTGTTCGAAGGGATGCCAGGGAAAAGCTAATCAAAAGATTTACCTGCGGATCGACTGCAGCTTCTCCGATTTTAGCGGGATGGTCTAGTGCTCTTAATCAACAAAAAATCCGACGAAGTCGTAGTGCTCGAACGCACTATTTCTTTTACAGCTCACAAATGCGCTCCAAGCGATAGCACCTTTTAGGGGACCCAACAGATCCGACGAATGCGATTCCAAACGTAACACCAAATAAAAGGTTGCTAAAACGAACTGCAAAAGAGGAAAGCACTAACCCCCAACACCATTCAACACGGAGTACCAAAGCAAAATGGATTCCCTTCCACCTGCGATGACGTGGCAAGGTAACGAAGCGAGAGTTCACGGAAGTTTGGCCCCCTAGTGGCAAACTTACGAAACGTCGAATTCCGACGAAAATCCCTAATCGATGTAACTAATGAGTGGATGCGATGGTTATTACAAAAGAAAAAAAAAACAAACAAGGCTATCAAGATTCCAGAAATGACGAAGACTCTAGGGGACGCTCCACGGCGTTTGTTCCCACCTAGGTAAGCAAATGAAATTCGCGAACAAAAATAACAAACAGAACGAAAATCGAATTTCAGAGTGAAGCTCTGGGATGGCGCGATCCATCCAGTTCCTTATAGCAAGAACCAAGCTGAAACGATCCAGAAGACCGATCTACAACAGCGAGGCTGAAACACTCATCTGAGCCCCTCCAAGCTCAGAATCATCGCGACAGTCTTGCGACTGGGGGAGTCAAAAGCTCGGGACGAACCCTCCACCAAAGTTGTCCTTCATTGCCATCGTGCCCAACCCAACCACCCATTGCACGAAATGACGAAACGAAAAAAAAAACGAGTAAACAAAATGTAATCCGATCCGAGAATGCCAATAAAAACCGAAATAGCTACGGCGAATTTTCAATTCGTAACAAAGTTTTCATTAATGAGTTCAGTGCTTCATACGGAAACTCGTTGCGATAATCTGTATATTTGGCAGAATCCACAAGAGACAAAAATTCTAATTTATTTAGGTCTGTAAATCGCACGTCTAACTGAAATGTGATACAATCTAAAATTTCATAAAATAAAATGCGGTAAGTTGTAATTAACTCTGCTTCATCAGTTACTTTCCCACGTTTGTTTGGAATACCAGTCCTCAACTTAGCACACTCAAAAATTGTTGTAAAAGTTATCTCGTTCCTCAGTGATTTAATGCGTGAAACAGCCATATTTATCTGAGAAAAACAGTATTTCACATCTAAAACTTTTTTCTGCAGAATTCTGAACAAGGGATCAGTTATTATAAAAATGTTATTATAAATTACAGTGAAAATAGCAAAATCAAAGTCCTCAAAACATTTCAAGAAACCCTGAGCCTTTGTAATAGACTCTATTCCAGAGGACTTGTCATTAACAATCGTTTCAAAAACAACCTTAAGCTTATCCCACTCTTGATGAACCAAGTTAACAACTTTTGAACGTGTGCACCAACGGGTTTCATTAGCCTGTGGTATACTTCTTTTTAAAATGTTATTTAAAGTAAATGTTCTTTTAGGAGATTGATTAAAAAAAGCCGGAATACCTAAAACTGTTGCAAAAAAAATTCTAGCTTTGGAAATTCCATTAGTCCCTTGCTGCAACACTAAAGGCGTTTACGAATATTCAACCCGATCCAAAAGGTTTGGGTTCAGGCGTTCGATTATTCAACCGGGTCTCCTGGATCGGTGTTCGCTTATTTAGTTAAAGGAACCAGTTAGCGGATCGAGTTGGATCATTTGAACCTGCTCGAGAAGCAGGGTAGCAATGGCGATGACAAGAAACCGCATGCGCATTAAAAAGAAATACGATGCAACTACAACTACAATAGAACGCGGGAAAGTGATTAGAGGTTAGAGCCAGGCTACAGACTTTAGGCAGAGCAACATTTATAACGAAAAAAATGACATCAAGGGAAGATGAGTGTGATGATGGTGTGTATATTATTAAATTGCATGTCAATATGAAAATAAATTTTATTGCAGTATCAGAAATATCAGAAGAATTTCATATCCAAAGGCTGATGAAAAACCCAACGATTTATATTTGGAATGACGCTTCAACAAAACTCTTCATAACTTTGTATGAGCAACATAAAATTTGCTTTGATTCGAAAAAATGTACAAACAGGAGTGTTTGGGGACAGATAGCAGCGGAAATGCAGTCGCATTCGTACCATGTAACGATTGAGCAAGTGGAAAATAAATGGAAAAACTTAAAAAAACAATATAAAAAAATAGTGGATCATAACAATTCCAGTGGAAGGGACAGGGCAGACTGGCCGTACTTCTCTGCTATGGATAAATTATTTGGGCAAAGACCAGAAATAAAACCCCCAGTACTCTTAGGCACAATGCCGACTGACAAAAATGTACAAGACATGCCTGGTACTAGCGAAACGGTACAGGAAAAGCAACCCAACAACTATAAAATCAGAAGAAACAAGCGTCAGCGGCCTTGTCAGCAAACGAGTGATGAGCCAACATGGTTAGTTGATTATAAAGAACAAGCTGAGAGGAGACATAACGAGAAGATGGCTATCCAAGCCAAATTGCTTGAGGCTGTTGAGAAGTTGAGTGATAAAGTGGAAAATTGAATTTGCATGTAAAGTAGAAAGAAAACTTTATTTTTATCAGTTTTTTTTACTTGATGTATGTTTATTTTGTTACATATTATATCATTGAATTGTTAAATACATTTGTCTGAATATTTTTATTTTTGTTGGTTAAAATTATCATAATATAATAAATTTACAATGTGTTCACGCTTCTGGTTCCCTTGCTGTTCAGGAATACCTTCCACTTCTTCTGCAATATTCTCATCCTCCTCGAACACCTCTATGTCATCATCCCCCATCCGCATAGCAATGTTGTGTAAAACACAACCAGCTAATATGATTGTTGGAACCAAGTCAGTTCTCACCTTATTTATGGAACGCAAAATTCTAAAGCGTCCTTTCAGTAAACCAAAGGTCTGTTCAATGGCACATCTTGTCTTGGAATGAATTCTGTTGTAGTTTTTCTGAGGAGCTGTTAAATGCCCATTATCTTTAAATGGTGTAAATATATATGTCCTATTTGGGTATGCTGAATCCCCTAATAAATGCACTGTTTGAGGAAAACGGGCTTCACATTGAACCATTTGCAAAACTGGGGAGTTACTCGTGCATCATGTACACTTCCCGGATACCCTGAAATGAGGACAAGTTAATAAAAATGTATGTTTTGATTTTTGTTATATACCAACAAAGCAGTCGATAAAGAGGTATTTGGAATTACAAACTCCCTGTAAATGTAGGGAGTGGTATTTATTTCTATTAATATAGGATGTGTGCTCAAATACTGGAGTCGATATTCTAAAATGACACCCATCGATCGCACCAACAACGCCCGGAAAATTGCCCCGTAATTGAAAACCCTGAATGGTTTCATTCAGTTGCCTTTTTGTTGGCCAAACAATATGATCTTTAGAAATTTGGCATAATATTGATGCAATTTTATGCACGCTATCCCAACAAGTTGATTTGGAAAGATCAAAACGATCTGCAATGGACCTAAAATTTGACTTATGTCCAAATGCTGCAAACTTTTTGTTAACTATACGTACCTAAAAACTTCCTGGTTCGCCATGAACCATAAAAACACAAGTACTTGCTTTTCAACATTTATATGAGGGCGGCCAGGGCCAAACTGTTCAACGTTCACTATTTTCGGAGCAAGCAGTTCCACTATCCCATGAAACGTTTCACGATACATGCGAAAATGGGAACGAAATTCTTCAAAAAACATAAATTTCAAATTTAATGAAAATAATGTTACTTTAACTTACCATCAGGTCTGTACATGCTAATCGTTTGCATAAAGGTGGTTATGCAATTTCTCTTTCGACGTGGAGGCTTTAATACATTTGATAACATTTTTAACACCAGCACATCATCTTCAGAGTCGCTATCATTTAACGCACTGATAATGGCCATACTTGCCCTTATCAGACATCTTAATTTGCGTCTCCTTTCAACGGTAGTACCCATTTACAATTATGAACAAAAAAATAACCCAACATTTGTTCGTAAATCTAAAGAGGTTATGTTATGGCTGTTATGACAGCTACAAACCTACTACAAAAAATCCCTACTACTGTTAAAAGTCTGCTACCTAAGAAGAAACCGTGAAATCAGTGCATTCGTTTATTACAAGAACTGGGTTGAAACCTCTGTTACCCAATCACGTGACTCCCGGGTTGGGGTCAGGAACTGAGGTTGAATAATCGTAAACGCCTTAAATTTAATCTATGGGCCGCACAGTGAGTAAACAAAGCCGAAGGAACCAGAGATTTAATTTTACTTTGGAGACCGTTTAATTCACCCGACATCACACTAGCTCCATCATAACATTGAGCAATTAATTTATTTTCAAAATCAAATGGTTTCAAAACGTTTATTAACAGTTCAAATAAAGCATTGGCCGTCCGGTCAGCACTTACATCATGGAATCCTAAAAACCGTTCTTTTAATTCGCCATTACAATTAACAAATCGCAGAGTAATTGAACACTGGGACTTTTCAGATATATCTGTAGTATCATCAGCTATTACAGCAAAAAATTTGGAATTATTTATTTCTTTTTTGATAAAATCATTCAAATATTCTTCACAACATGAAATTAATTCATTCTGAATAGTTTTCGATTGACCGGTAAAAATGTGACCAACTTTTTTCGCATATTCACTTAATTCCGAGTTACGTTTAATCATGCAGTCAAAAATTTCTCTGAAGTTACCGCGATTAGCCGAATGGGTGGATTCATCATGTCCACGAAATGACAGTTCTTGTTTTCCTAATAGCAAAGTTACATCAATTAGGTAAGTTAGCAGCTGCCGATTTTTCCTAACGTTTTCGTTGTATAAAATTTTATTTATGCTTGCATGTTCTTGCAAAGCATCGGATATTGTCGACGTGTTTCGTTCCACGCGCTTAAGGCCCATACAATTTTTAATGTGCTCTTTGGAATCATTATGCAGCTTTGTACTTCGCGAGATGTTTTTTAAATCAAAATAACCAGTGGTATTCCATACATTTTTAACATTACCTAATAATAAACAAGGCCAACAGTACAGTCTGTTAGTGCATCTACTACCGCATAACCACTTGTGGCTTTCGTACCATGAAAGCTGAAATGTTCGGCAATAGGTACGTTTTTGAGTTGCGTTTTTCTCTGAACAATTAATTTCGATCTTATGCGTGGGCCGATACTGTAAAATTTCTCGTTTCTCACTTTCACTTCGCCTTGAAAAAGGCGTTTCGAGCAGAGACATAACAATGTCGTATTGGGGATTCATTTCAAAGTAAACGAATAGTATACACTGGAAAGATCCTACCTTTGGTTTAAATGCCTTGACTTTGGACAACCTGTATCTACCTGAGTACACCGTTCACCTGTGTAAACCTGTTAGTTCGAAAATAGCGACCAACACACGCACAGCACCGTAAAATAAGCGGGAGAATGCTTTAGAATCTTGCAAAGATGCAACTTGCTCGTGATAATCACGAATGGTTTTAGAACTGACGATGGAGTGGCCGAACATTTCCGAACAAGTTTTATCTTGTTTTTAAGCTCAAAGACGACAGCCTCATTTCAGCATACTAAAACATATCTGCGCGTGCGTCACCAATGTACGCTGCATGCTAAAATAAAGGTAGAACTGAACCGCAAAATTCTGAGCCTCTCGTATCAATAATTTCGAATTTGCGGGACAAAAATCAGTGAAAAATATATATTTTTTTGTACAATACGTGACTTTATTAATATTACGAAGCTGTATCTGAATTTTGGATACTGATAATTATGATGTCTTGTTGCATAGGTGAGGCTCAGCCTCACTTGCCTCACCTGGCGAGCCGCCTCTGGTATAGATCGGACTGCGGTAAAGACTTATT